TTTGCAATTTAAAAATGCAAACTATTTCAAAGATATATTTTTTGTGTCACTGTTGCCGACTTGTGTTAATATTACAGGTGTAGTTCTCGTGTCACAGAAATGTCAATCTATAAGAATTTCTGGGAAAAAAAAAACAGAAAGAGAGATAATAAACATAAACTTTGTTTTGTACGAATTAAGTTTATTTCATCTTATCATAACCAACCCCTCCTGCTCAATAAAATTCTATGTCAACTTTTGTAACGCCTCTTTGCATCCTGTTCTAAGATTACATTGATTGTCGTGTCAGTAAATAATTAAAGCTTAGATATTTGACAATAAATATACATTGACGTAAAGAATTTCCCAATGGAGCACTTGCAAGTTAGATTAATGATTAATGATAGAACGTTCTGTCACTTTGTTACAGCAATGAACTTATCAATCCTTTTCCTTTTATCTATATTTTAGTATTGCCTACTGGTTGATGTTTTTCAAGCATTTCCTATGTAAAAATTGTGTTTCAAAATTTAGAAAAGGAAAAGGCTTTGGATTTCCTGAGAAAAAAAACTAATTCATCGTAATTAATTATATTTATTCGCCATGGACCGGGACTGGGATTTCAATGAAATTTCATTCGTGTTTTGTGTTTCTCTATTCGCCACTTGTGGTTTGGTTGGAAATACTTTGATTTTAGTTGTCTATTTCACCAGGAAGCCATTATTTGGAGAATTCCTTTACATTAAAGTTCTTGCCATTACCGATCTTCTTGTATGTGGATTTTTGATGCCATACACCGTATCTTATGAATTCAGTTTAGTTACAAACGATGTTCTTTGTCGCTTAATGGAAGTTTGTCGCCATGGTGCCATTATTTTTTCGAACACTATTTTACTTATTGTTGCCACAGAAAGATTAAGAATGGTTTGGAAGGCGAATAATAAGTTTTCACAGAAGACAAAGCAATACATTTTACTTATTTTTCTATTTGCCTCTTTTATTACTGCTTGTCCAACAGCTGCTTTATTTCAAGTGAAAAGTACTCACAATAACAATACAACCAAGGAATACTGTCAGTACACCACTGCGACTTTAGGAGAAGAACTTGCTGAGATATACCAAACTTTTTTATCAGTCCTGATATCTCTCGGACTTTTTATTCTTATAGTGATTTACATATTAGTATACGTCCTCATTTATAAGCATAAAAAACGAATCGAAAAATTGACCACGAAAAATAACATGGAGAGCGACAGAAAGAATCGACCCGTTAGCATCTTGGAAACGACAAATCACCGAAGAGATTCTGAAGCAAATAATGACTGCAATAAACTCTCTGTCATAACGTCAGGAAAACGGTCTCCAAAAATAAACAATACAGCGTACGTGCGAACAAAAACATGGACAATGCTTTTTATTTGCACATTAATATATTTCATCTGAATTCGATTTCACCATCTCATGGATCCCGTTTTTCTTTGCCATATTTAACATATCAAAGATTTTTATTGTACGTTATTTCTTTTTTCTTTCAAATGCAAGTAATCCTGTTGTGTACAGCATTATTAACCAGAAAGTCAGAGACGGCATAAAACAATTATTTTCTCGTCAAAAACACTAGATTCATTATTTAGATGTTATTCAATTGATGTTTCAACAAAATCGATATAAAACAAATTTATAAGCAGCCTTTCCGCCAAATTTTTCCCTCTCAGATGTTGTAAATTTCAAAATTTAAATTCAAATACACTGTTCAATACAAATTTTAATTGTGTAACAGAAACTTTTATTATCTGTTAGTTTAGTTTTAATACTTATTAATTCATCTAGATCTGATACTTGATATTATTTTGACAAAAGTTTTGTATGTGAGGTGAATTACGAAATCTACGGCAAAATAAATATGATATTACTATCAATCCTATGTCACTAATGCATGAAATATATAGGAATAGTCGTTATTACAATGTAACACAAGTAGAAAATGTAAATACTGACAGATATTACTAAGGGTATTGAATTTTGTCCTTAATACAATACTTGAAAAAGTAAAGCGAATGAAAATTTTCGTACTTTTTTGAAACAATTATATTTAAGACATTCGAAGTCTTTATCTCATAGTATCTTGGATGCTATAGAAAAACACGATTTCTCCATTACCCGAAGTTGAGAAAACTTCAATTTGGTCAATGAGTATAATAAAAAAAGCAAAGAATAATTTAAATTTTTTTTTGATAAAAAGAACATACAATCAGCTGGTAATAAAAATTATTTTACCAGAGTTATTCATTTTGTTTAATCCTATCACTGAATTTTTCCGTTATTTGCCGATCATGACTAGGAGCATACGGAGGAGTCTGTAGGGGATGCTCACTCCTCCATGGCACCTGATCCCACCTCTGATGTTTAAGAGATTCGTGTTTGCTCTGCACCAAATTTGTATTGTTTATTGGACTTTTGAGCTTGAATTCTGTTCGTTATCTCCATACATATCATTCCAAAACCCTTTTCCGCATTTGTTTTTCATTGTCTATGGCCTGCAGAGACTTAACAATAATTTGAAAATTTGCTTTACAGTGTTCAACAAGACTGACATACATTAAACAATAAAGTGTCACCATACTTCAATATAAAACAGAAATTCTTGTTAATTCTAAGATGGAATCAGGTGTCAAGAAGGAGTAAGCATTCCCTGTTGATTGGTCACACCCATATTGAGACCTGTGTAATGGTCAGTTAGACTGAACCTTTCGTATTCGAATTTAGCATAAAAAAACAAGAGCCTTACAAAACATCTGAAACAAGGCAGACTAAATAAGACCCAATAATGAATTTACTAACAAAGTGATTATGACGTCCTTCGAATATACAAAATATTAACTTTTAACAAGTGTGTTACGATCCCTGTAACATCAATTTACCCGTCAGTAGCCTCTCTTGGTTGAAAATTTAAAGGTATTAGTAAACGGAGATTGCTCTTGAGTATAAAAAAAAATCTAGCAGTTGAAATCACCATGTTCAAATGATGGCGAAAAAAAAAAATCTATATGCATGAATATGGAAAGTTGTCGATGAAATTCAAATAATTCCTTTGGCACACAATTAACTTGTTAGATTATAACCAATAACTTATAAATATATATATATATATATATATATATATATATATATATATATATATATATATATATATATATATATATATATATATATAAAGCAAAACTGCGGTGTATACCAGATGTTCCCTTATGTATAATCCTTGGCCAGGTAGGCCTGTGAACAATAATGTGTGCATTTTCATAGGTGTATTATGAATGTAAATATTAATCATACTTATTGTTAGGCCGTTAGATTTTTTGAGTTTGGGCATTCTAGTCTGAAAGCAGCATACAACAGTGGCGGATTTAAGGGGGGGCACACCCGGCGCGCGCCCCCCTAAAATTGTCAAAGTTAACGTAAATCACAGTTTCGTCTAGAAAATGTAAATATGTCCACCTGGTAGACCTCATTTTTACCCTAGAAAATCTCTAGAATCCAGGAGCTTCCGGAGGCTTCGCCAGACCCCTTGCCTACTCTTGGCCCCCCTCTAACTTCAATTCCTGGATCCGCGCCTGTACAAGTAGCAGGTTATTTTATCCTGATCCCGCCTCTGGTAATGTGTGGAAGTCCATATTCGCCCTGTTCCAGAATTGTATTGTTTCAATGAGCTTTGAGTTTGATAACTGTTCATTATACTGTATGAAGGGTTATTTTCGTCCCATGTTATTTTCACACTTTCATATTTGCAAACAATTAAGCCCCGTTTTAAATTCGCCTAGAAACAGTTTTGTTCAAGACATAATGCAGTTTAAATATGAAATCGCTATTTTTTTAATTCGTCCACTCTAAACGCGAGCGAATGGGGCGAAAATAAAACAAGGGAGAAAATTACTCTGTATTTTTTTTCCGTCGTATTTCATATTTTATTTTATTTTTTACTTCTATTAATTTCTTACAATTTTGATTTATACTCAGTTTACCGTAAGACCCTTCAGGCTTGATGTTTCATAAAATGTACTCGATTCACAAACATTGGAATGTTTTTTCTATAGATCTACTGTCAATTTCCATTCATCGACATGTGATGTTTATCTGTTTATAGTTACCTTACTCATCTCATGTGTTCCATGTGCTCGTGTGTCGTTTTGCAAACATTACATTGTTCACGGGATTGATAATATTGATCGCACTACCTTTTAGTTTCATTCAGACTTTGCTGTAAGGTAGCTTCTAATGAATTTGTCACCCATGCTTTAAATAAGGCCTTGAATATGCATATTAAAAATTTGATACAGATACTTGTTTTACTTATAAAAAGTTTATAGAAGGTGAAGAGTGTTGACAGAATGTACTTGGATAGCCACAGGAGTGGATGCGGAAGTTGTTCAAAACTGATGAATGAAATAATTATGTGTTTTTTTTTTCTAATTTTAAGATAAGTCATATACATGTATCTTTCAACTTCATTGATGTTGACTAATGTACTTAATGAACTTCTTTACACAGGTGGAGTTATCTCATACAAACTGATAAGTTAGTGAAGAGAAAAAAAAACACATTATTTTCGGTAAAACAAACAAAATATCGTTTCATGCATGTATTATACGATCTTTGATTACGTGTGACATTTCCTATACATGTATGATTATTTTAATTTGGTAGATGCAAATATTCATTTCCGGCAAACTCTGATGACCAAGTGACCTTACAAAATTTTCCAAACATCCGGTAAAACGGGAAGCGCGCCTTATCACAAACCACCAGATCTACAGATCTACACGTTGCACCGTACGCTCTCATCGTCACCATTTTTCCACATCCCAAACAAAGGGCTTTTGTCATTACGATGCACGTTTCTTTTAATGTGACGATTAAGAAAGTATCACATTTTTATGAATTTCCTTCACTTTATATTTCAAACCAAAATTCATGTTTCTTTAGTTTAACCCCATACATTGAAGAACCCACTTGAAGTATTCAAAATGGATCTCAATCTACTGATATTTTTGATTAGCATATCCGTTTTCGCCATCATTGGAGTGATTGGGAATTCTCTCATTATTGCTGTTTATATAAAAACCAGAAGAAGTTTCTTCAACAGAACTTACATCGTGGCTCTATCTATAGTAGATCTGATTGCAGATTTACTTATAGCGCCATACACCGCCGTGTTTGAACTTCATCTCGTCAACAGTGACGTCATCTGCCATGGAATGGAAGTCATCAGACATACTGTTATAGGATTCTCGAACCTGATTTTAATCTTGATTGCATCAGAGAGACTTCTTATGGTGTGGAAACCAACAAAAATCATATCAGAAAGAAAAAAAATAATGGCTATACTGGTGCTTTTAGTAATTTCCATTTTCTCTGGACTTCCCTCTGGAGCAATTTATCAGGTTTCGAACAAAGAGCACAATCTTTATCATAACAGAACAAAGTTTAATAACGATACCACGATTAATAAAAACGATTTCTGCCAATATACCACAGATATTTTGGGAGATGACTTGAGCATGATGTACCGAAATTTTCTTGCTTTAATGATCCTTTTGGAATTTTTCATCTTGATTGTAGTTTATGTGCTTGTGTATGTAGTCATCTGTAGACAGAAAATGCGAGTGAGACGTATTGGGTCCTCTAGCGTGCTGAAAGAGAAGCAGAAACCTAAGAAGAGTGAAACAAGTCAAACAACCTCCAGTGTCCCGAACGATCAATCGGACTGCAATTCAACGGATGATATGGGATTGAACCTAAAATCACAACCAATAAACAATAAACACAACAGGTACGACCCTGGAAAAACTCTCAATTTTTGTTTTAAAAAGAATGGATTTCCAGTCAAATGCGCCGATTCCGAAACTGATTCAGGAGCTATATCAGTAACAATGACAAAATTTACATCGAACAAAGATATCCATGGCAAGCAAATGAGAACACTCAGCTTTGACACTGACACAACGGGTGTAGATAGTGAACCGGAAAAGGCCAATGGAAGAAATGACAGAGTTTGCATAAATACGGAGAAATCAACAACACTACGAAGGAAAAGAAAGATTCGAGTATCCAAACATGCTAATTACGTTCGGAAAAAAACCTGGACAATGCTGTTTATCTGCACATTTGTCTATCTGATATGTTGGATTCCATTTTTCTTTGAAATATTTAACGTGACAAGCATTTTATTTCTTCGCTATTTCTTTTTTCTTGGTCATGCCACAAATCCCATTATTTACAGTATAATCAACGTTAAAATCAGGAATGGGATCAAGAAACTTTTTTAAATGGAAGGGCTAATTTGTTGAGACGTTCATACAAGATTTAATTATGTACATATTTTTGTACATTGTGTTACACATCGACTTATTTTTATAAAATTTTATTAGTGTATATTTACACATAAAAATTTGATGAGGTCGAAATGAAAATTACATGCATAGAATGGTATTTTTCAGTGAAAGGAAACGGAGAACATAAAGACAGAATTTTGCCTTTTTTTATGTAGGTTTTGGGCGATAATTCTTGTAATCAGCAGTATGCTTGTTGTTATTTACTTATTTTGTATGATTTGTATTTTACTGTGTTTTTCATGTGCATATTTTGGATGAATACAAACAATAACATTTACTAAAAACATGAAATCATAAATACTTATTGCACAAATTTTAATTTTGCGAGTGTGTTTTTTAAATGAAATATTTGTGTTGATAATTTTGAAATAAAGATGAATTGTATATTTCATATAAGCTTAACATAAAAGAATGTAACTTTTGAAAAATGACCCTGCTTTAACTTCTTTATTTCCGACAATTTAATTCTTAAAAGGTTGGTAAATGTTAACTTCCGAGTTGTTACTTAAGCCATCGTGTTAAACAGGGGCTTTGAAAATTTACTGAAAGGAGGCAAAGAGAGATAACTACATTTTTACAATAGAAAATTTACGATCATTTATGATCACATCACAAGAGAAATTTGTTATTAGTTTTTAAAAACAAATTTAAAACACTCATTGTCAGATACACTCCCGGAGATAATCATTTTGTTAACACATTGATGCAAGTATGACAGTTTAAATAAGTCAGATTTATTCATACGTCATATCACATGACACATATCAGTAGTAAAACTTTATTCACGAGATTATGATTTTAAAACGGAAAATTGATTTTTTGTATGTTTAATATTAATTACCGTTGAGAGGTACGAATAAATTTAAAATATACATAGTCATGTAATTACGCACCTAAAAATCATTACATTGAAATGAGAGAGTATATATAAATCAAAGAAATCCAGTTTTTTTTCTTTGAGACGTTTATGTCATTAGAAGAAGCTTACTATTTCATAGGCACCCGATCCCATCTCTGATTTCCCAGGGGCCCATGCTCTATGTCCCTTTTTACAGATTTGTCTTGTTTATAGATTTTTTTTAGATCGATCAGCTTTGTTATCTTTCATTTAAAAAAAAAGTATATTGTTGAATATATTTCATAAACAAATATTCAAGATGTACACATAAAAAACATTTAATGAGGTTGAAATGTCAGTCATAGAATTGCATTTTTCATGGAAAGGACGATCAAAATGTTATCTACAACTATATATAACATAAATTTTCATACCGAAGACGGATTTTTTATTTTTATTCTGAAGGATTTTGGTAGATAAAGATATTTCTTCTATTTCCTTGTGCACTTTTTACATGAACACAAATAATAACTTTAAAACTTCACAACATGAATACTTCTTGTGAAAAGCCAATTAAAAAACCCACATAACACATTTTTTATTTCATGATATTTCCATGCAGTAGAGTGATCTCCCCTTATAAATAAAAACAAAGCTTGAAATCTAAAACATCAAGATCCAATAGTCAAGAACTCATTTCATTAGGCTTAGATGAATTTCATGTAATTGAATCCTTCATTTGCATACACTATCCCATGTAAGTAAGCAATAGATTTAATAATTTCCGTTCACTATTACCTCATTATCTTTGAACATTTTAACTGGGGGTATAACAGGTACCCGATTTTGAAATGAAAAATGTTAAATAAGTAGGAATATTGGTTAATGAAATAGGTGAACTAAATATATAATATAACGATATTATAATTATGTAAATGATATATAATTTCGGATTAGAGAATGCATCCGGGCAATTAAAGCCAGGCTGTAGGTAGTTTCTGTACTTTGATTTTTTGGCACCTGAGTTTAGTTATCAATATACATTTATTGACTGAGTTCGAGGGCAACATGCGTTTTGTCGGACCCAAGAACCAAACTGTCTGCCTGAGGCCGTGAGGCAGAAAATTTGGTTCGGATGGCGAGAACATAGTCAATAAATGCAATTAAACAAAACACATTTTTTGGCACCTGAGTTTAGTTATCAATATACATTTATTGACTGAGTTCGAACATGCGTTTTTGTTATACCTTTCGTTTTAATTTTTTTCTGACATACATGTATTATGCACTGTCTTCCGTGACGCAACCTCGGGTCCGTCACTTTTGAACACCAACGAATGAAAATGAGATTAAGTTCCGCCCATTCTTTGACGTAAGCGGTCCAACATCTCATCGACTGGTCCAGCATCTCACTCAGCGGTCCAACATCGATTTTTTTTTTTGCCCGCTCGTCAAAACATTAGAAATGTTAGGCTTTTTTCATATAGATTTGTATAGGAACAAATTTTTAAAGGTGTAACAAACTTCATTATTTCACGAACATATGACAAACATAAGAAAATGGAGACAACAGGATATAACAAGAGGACTTAAAATTATTTTTTAATACAAATATAAAAACACTCATAGTCAGATATACCCAGAAATCAAAATAACCATGTTAATACACTGATGCACATATGACAGGTTTAATTTACTCCTGATAAAATATCACATGACACAGATATTTAGTAAAAATGTATCCACAAGATCGTGAACTCATAAAGGAAAATGTTTTAGTCATTGTTGAGATCATTATTGATTTCTTTGCTTATATAAATGTATTTACATTTTTACAGGCTTTTCTTTCACTGCAAATAATGTATTTCAAAATCTGTATTATCTTTCAAGCAAGTTATAGTTAATGGAAGAGCCAATGCGACAGCTTTCTAAGTGAGCATGATATTTAATTTTCGCTTATGGAGTTGTACTTCCATGACGTTCACTTTTTAATTTGTGACGTCAAAATAAAACGTAATCTTTAATCTATTGACACGCTGTTCGTGTTATGGTGTTTTGAATGCCGTAGATTTCCGCAAACTTAATATGCAAAATACACGTGTAATCTAAATATAACAGAAAAATGGAGTTAATGACAGGAGAGACTAACGTTTTGCGACAATATAAAGACAACGTTTATGGCAGACTTTTTTAAATAGAATGCAGCCTCAATGGACGTTGCTTTTTTCTAGATCCCTTGAGTCAAGGTGGTATTTTACTGCTTCGAGTTCTTTGCATAAATACTGCCATATCGATCTGATAATTGGCACATTTTTTGTAGTTTTGATAATAGATTGTGAATAAATGTCAATGACAAGCATGCCAAACACCTATTTATTTGTTCTCCCATGGTAAAGAATAATGACTTGTAAGGGGCGCTTTTATGTAAAAAAATGATACAAATCCCAACCAGTGGACTTTCTGTTGGAGGTGATTGAAGGCTATACATTGAAGGCTGCCGCTAAATCCTTAATGAAACGAAAGTTAACAATTTATTACACTGAATCTAATGAGGAGCTTTCAGAAACACTGGTTAATTGCCTGACTTAAGGATTAATATTTGTATGATCCTAATCTACTCAAGTATGCGATCAAACCTAGAGAGCTAGATTTGTGCAATTCTTTACCTGAATTTCAAAAGAAACAGTATTCAGAAAAAGAATGATATTTTTGATACAATACAACGGTGTTTACTTTCCCTACTCTTTTTGGATGGAAACAGTTTATTCTATGTGATTCACCGTTTCAACATGTCCGTGTATCCTTTTTTTCTGCATTTCTATATACTACTGAATTAGTCCATTTATATTTTACGAAAGGGATGAATCGTAGAATTTCACTGCTATCTTCACGCCTTTTCCTTGGATTGCTCTATTTTATGTAATGGTTGTGCTTACTTCCGTTGAAATAAATAATGTTTGTTCTTTTAACCTCCTTTTAATGCTCTCAGAAATTCTATCAACAAGTTTTATCTTTTTCTTTTAAACAACATATCATATATGTAAGTATATGGACATGCAACACTAAAGAGATGGTTTTTATAATTTGTTTCCCAATCCCACGTTCGTTTTATTCCGTAAATGGACTAGCCCAATAATAATAATAAACAATGCAGTTCAACAAGTCATGGTCTCCAGATGCACGATCTATTCATATACACAATAAATAAGAAACCCGTGTAAAATCTTGGATTTTTCTGTCCAGAAAGGCCTAAACATTGAATTTACTTATTTCATTCTCAATATATGAGAGTGGTACTACCCCCACCCCTTTTAAGAAAAAAAACCATGATTGCACGTTACTACATGTACTGTTTACTTCAGTGGAGAAAATACACTCCAACAAAATGTGTATTTAATTTTATCCATCATTTAAAATTTTTACAATGCATGATTTGAAAACAGATTTTATAATAGGTGTACAATGAAGCTTTCAATTTAGATCCAAGGGCAGATCACTCCACTTGCAGGGAAAAAAAAACACGGAATAACAACTCTTTAGTACGCTGTGTAGAGATGATTCTTTTTACAAGTGAAATAAAACCAAGGATTACATTTACAGAAGGTTCTCAAAATACAAAGTAAGGACATATTTTAAACCCACAAAAGTATTACTCAAAAGGTTTATTACTCCTTATGCAGATATTGATTGATTAAGTCAAGTAATCTTTTTGAAAAGCTGATACTTGTATTTGTTAGCTTTGTTAAAAAGCAAATGAAAACACGTACCTGGTCTGATAACTGTTATTTTGGAAAAGGTAACCAGACAGTAAATATTATACATAAAATGTACTTTCAGAGACTTTGATTTGAAATATTAACAACTTTTATATCCTAACTTCAGTATCATTCTCATTGTTTTACATTTGTATATAAGGCTAACCTGTAAATGTTTGACTGCCCTAGCCCTCTGATCAAGGATGAAATATATGGCTCGAAAGTTAGCTAAGGTGGTTTTTTTTTTTAATTATAAATAATTTCAAATTCAATTAATGCTGAATTATCAAAATATGTTTTCCGGACTGCATAAAAAACTGTTTTCTGATTGTTGATAAGAC